CAATGAGAGAACTGTACAGCAGCATGAGGGAGGCGGTACAGGGGCCCATGGCAGATTAGGGGCCTGGCAGCAGCAATGGGAGGCCCGTAATCTGCCAGCACCCTATGACAAAAAATGGAACCCACCAGCAGTGTGTGAGGAGACCTGAAAGTGGCACATGGCAGAGTGTGGCGATGGAGACAGCAGCAATGGGAGGCCGTACAGGGACCCATGAGAGACTCTGGACCTGGCAGCAGCATGAGGAGGCGGTACTGGGGCCCATGGCAGATTACGGGCCTGGCAGCAGCATGGGAGGCCCGTAATCTGCCAGCACCCTATGACAAAAAATGGAACACACCAGCAGTGTGAGGAGACCTGAAAGTGGCACATGGCAGAGTGTGGCGATGGAGACAGCAGCAATGGGAGGCCGTACAGGGACCCATGAGACACTCTGGACCTGGCAGCAGCATGAGGAGGCGGTACAGGGGGCCCATGGCAGATTAGGGGCCTGGCAGCAGCATGAGGAGGCCCGGTACGGGGGCCCATGGCAGATTACGGGCCTGGCAGCAGCAGCAGTACCGCCCGAACAGGGACCCATGTGCATGAGACACACTGGGAGGCCCAGCAAATGAGGAGGCTGCAGGGGCCCATGCAGATTAGACCCATGGGAGACACAACACCCTATGACAAAAAATGGAACACACCAGCAGTGTGAGGAGGCCTGAAAGTGGCCCATGGCAGAGTGTGGGATGGAGCAGCAGCAATGAGGAGGCGGTACAGGGGGCCCATGAGAGACACTCTGGACCTGGCAGCAGCATGAGGAGGCGGTACAGGGGCCCATGGCAGATTACGGGCCTGGCAGCAGCAATGGGAGGAGGCCCGTAATCTGCCAGCACCCTATGCTCGCAAAATGTTGAACTCTTGGAAACGGATTCCAGTGGCACAGGCAGACTGCTGAGGAACCGTGAAGAGGCAGTAGGCAATGAGAAGTGACATGGAACGAGCAGCAGCAATGACAAGCGCGGTACAGGGGCCCATGACAGATTACGGGCCTGGCAGCAGCATGAGGAGTCGGTACGGGGGCCCATGGCAGATTACGGGCCTGGCAGCAGCAATGGGAGGCCCGTAATCTGCCAGCACCCTATGACAAAAAATGGAACACACCAGCAGTGTGAGGAGACCTGAAAGTGGCACATGGCAGAGTGTGGCGATGGAGACAGCAGCAATGGGAGGCCGTACAGGGACCCATGAGAGACTCTGGACCTGGCAGCAGCATGAGGAGGCGGTACAGGGGCCCATGGCAGATTAGGGCCTGGCAGCAGCTATGGGAGGCCCGTAATCTGCCAGCACCCTATGACAAAAAATGGAACACACCAGCAGTGTGAGGAGACCTGAAAGTGGCACATGGCAGAGTGTGGCGATGGAGACAGCAGCAATGGGAGGCCGTACAGGGACCCATGAGAGACTGTGGACCTGGACCTGGCAGCAGCATGAGGAGGCGGTACAGGGGCCCATGGCAGATTAGGGGCCTGGCAGCAGCAATGGGAGGCCCGTAATCTGCCAGCACCCTATGACAAAAAATGGAACACACCAGCAGTGTGAGGAGACCTGAAAGTGGCACATGGCATCAGAGTGGGCGATTTTCCCAGGCCAGCAAATGGCGACCCATGAGACAAGGACTGCAGCAATGGGAGGCGGTACAGGGGCCCATGGCAGATTAAGGCCTGGCAGCAGCATGGGAGGCCCGTAATCTGGCCAGGGGTCCCAAAAATGGGCACGTTTACCTGGGGCGCTTGGCAGCAGCCACACCGCCGATAGGAAAGCAATTAATCCCCCGCTACTCCCATGAGACACTGGCTGACTGGCTGGCAGCAGCATGAGGAGGCCGTACACCGGCAAAGTGGCTACATGGCAGATGGTGGTAGGGCCTGGCAGTGGAGCTGGTGGGAGGCCCGTAATCTGCCGCAGGCAGACCAGACACTGTGGAGAGACCTGGACCTGCAGCAGCAATGGGAGGCAGCAATGGGAGGCCCATACAGGGACCCATGACACACTCTGGACCTGGCAGCAGCATGAGGAGCGGTACAGGGGGCCATGGCAGATTACGGGCCTGGCAGCAGCAATGGGAGGCCCGTAATCTGCCAGCACCCTATGACAAAAAATGGAACACACCAGCAGTGTGAGGAGAGACCTGAAAGTGGCCATGGCAAGTGGGCACATGCATGAGACATGAGACACTGGACCTGGCAGCAGCATGAGGAGGCGGTACAGGGGCCCATGGCAGATTAGGGGCCTGGCAGCAGCTATGGGAGGCCCGTAATCTCTGCCAGCACCCTATGACAAAAAATGGAACACACCAGCAGTGTGTGAGGAGACCTGAAAGTGGCACATGGCAGAGTGTGGCGATGGAGACAGCAGCAATGGGAGGCCGTACAGGGACCCATGAGAGACTCTGGACCTGGCAGCAGCAGAGGAGGCGGTACAGGGGCCCATGGCAGATTACGGGCCTGGCAGCAGCAATGGGAGGCCCGTAATCTGCCAGCACCCTATGACAAAAAATGGAACACACCAGCAGTGTGAGGAGACCTGAAAGTGGCACATGGCATGAGACACTGTGGACCTGGAGACAGCAGCAATGGAGGAGGCGGCAGCAGCATGAGGAGGCAGGGGGGGCCCATGGCAGATTAGGGGCCTGGCAGCAGCTATGGGAGGCCGTAATCTGCCAGCACCCTATGACAAAAAATGGAACACACCAGCAGTGTGTGAGGAGACCTGAAAGTGGCACATGGCAGAGTGTGGCGATGGAGACAGCAGCAATGGGAGGCCGTACAGGGACCCATGAGACACTCTGGACCTGGCAGCAGCATGAGGAGGAGGCGGTACAGGGGCCCATGGCAGATTACGGGCCTGGCAGCAGCAATGGGAGGCCCGTAATCTGCCAGCACCCTATGACAAAAAATGGAACACACCAGCAGTGTGAGGAGACCTGAAAGTGGCACATGTTTGGGGCATGATTCATGGCGGATTTAGTCAGTTGTGTGTCAGGAACTGTGGTTTTTGAAATCCAGACTAATCCACGCCTGATTCATTTTCACAAACGTGAGTCTCTCCACACTTTGGGTGGACAGTCGTGTCCTCCGCGGAGTTACAATACCTCCTGCCGCACTAAACACGCGCTCCGATGCCACGCTACTGGCGGGCATGACAGCCTTTCAAGGGCAAATTCAGCTAGTTGGGGCCAAAGGTCAAGTTTCGTTGCCCAGTAGTCAAGGGGATTGTCTACCTCGGTTGGCAGGGTGCTGTCCAAGTAGGCCTAAGCCTGTTGTTTGAGGTCCTGCTCCAGGTCCACCTGATGCTGCTGCTGCTGCTGCTGGCTTAGTAGTTTCCTCACTGCGCTGGTGAAGAAAGCTACTCATCATCGACTGCAGACTGAGGCAGCCGCTGCTGGTGGAGCTGCCACTGCTCCTACCACCCCCCCCCCCTCCCCTGCTGCCATGGCAGCGGAACGCGAGCGCGCACAGGGCCCACAGTGTCTGAGGATGGACGTTGGCGCAGAAAGGCAGAGACCAGCTGACTACATAGGTGGTTTTTATAGTACGTTATTTTGGCCTCCCTCTCAGCAGGTGTGAAAAAGGCCACCATTTTTGAACGGTAGCGAGGGTCCAACAAGGTGGACAGCCAAAAGTCATCCCTCTGTCTGATGGTTATTATTCGGCTGTCGCTACGCAAGCAAGCGAGCATGCTATGGGCCATTTGTGCCAAGGAATGCGAGGGACTCCCTGCCCCTCCTCCATCTCCACAGCATACTGCCACGGTGCGTCTGGGTCCTCTGTCTCCTCCTCCTCCTCCTCTACCAGATGCTCCTGCTCCTCCACTCCTGTCCGCTGAGTGGAAAAACCACCCATTTCACTCAATAATTCCTGAGCACCAATGTCCTCCTCTACCTCCTCCTCTTCTTCCTGTCCTGCCCCCACAGGGGTCATGTGGCGTTGAGATCTGTGCGCCACGTCTACCGCACCCTGACCAGCCATTGTTAACAGCATTTGTGTTCCAGGACGTGCAACAGAGGAATGACGTCGTTCATCCCATAGTCCTGCCGACTCACGAATAGCGTGGCCTCCTCAAAGGGCCTGAGCAAGCGCAGGTGTCACGCATGAGCTGAGCTGCCAATGGTGACATCTAAGTTACACAGGGAGTACCTTTATCCGCTTGTAACATCAGGAAATCTGTGATGGCCTTTCGCTGTTCGTAAAGGCGGTCTAACATATGTAGGGTTGAATTCCACCTTGTTGCAACGTCACAGCATGAGGAGTCGGTACGGGGGCCCATGGCAGATTACGGGCCTGGCAGCAGCAATGGGAGGCCCGTAATCTGCCAGCACCCTATGACAAAAAATGTAACACACCAGCAGTGTGAGGAGATCTGAAAGTGGCACATGGCAGAGTGTGGCGATGGAGACAGCAGCAATGGGAGGCCGTACAGGGACCCATGAGAGACTCTGGACCTGGCAGCAGCATGAGGAGGCGGTATAGGGGCCCATGGCAGATTAGGGGCCTGGCAGCAGCTATGGGAGGCCCGTAATCTGCCAGCACCCTATGACAAAAAATGGAACACACCAGCAGTGTGAGGAGACCTGAAAGTGGCACATGGCAGAGTGTGGCGATGGAGACAGCAGCAAATGGGAGGCCGTACAGGGACCCATGAGAGACTCTGGACCTGGCAGCAGCATGAGGAGGCGGGCGGTATAGGGGCCCATGGCAGATTAGGGGCCTGGCAGCAGCTATGGGAGGCCCGTAATCTGCCAGCACCCTATGACAAAAAATGGAACACACCAGCAGTGTGAGGAGACCTGAAAGTGGCACATGGCAGAGTGTGGCGATGGAGACAGCAGCAATGGGAGGCCGTACAGGGACCCATGAGAGACTCTGGACTGGCAGCAGCATGAGGAGGCGGTACAGGGGCCATGGCAGATTAGGGGCCTGGCAGCAGCATGGGAGGCCCGTAATCTGCCAGCACCCTATGACAAAAAATGGAACACACCAGCAGTGTGAGGAGACCTGAAAGTGGCACATGGCAGAGTGTGGCGATGGAGACAGCAGCAATGGGAGGCCGTACAGGGACCCATGAGAGACTCTGGACCTGGCAGCAGCATGAGGAGGCGGTATAGGGGCCCATGGCAGATTAGGGGCCTGGCAGCAGCTATGGGAGGCCCGTAATCTGCCAGCACCCTATGACAAAAAATGGAACACACCAGCAGTGTGAGGAGACCTGAAAGTGGCACATGGCATGAGACACTGTGGACCTGGCAGCAGCAGCATGAGGAGGCGGTACAGGGGCCCATGGCAGATTAGGGGCCTGGCAGCAGCTATGGGAGGCCCGTAATCTGCCAGCACCCTATGACAAAAAATGGAACACACCAGCAGTGTGTGAGGAGACCTGAAAGTGGCACATGGCAGAGTGTGGCAGAGTGTGGAGACAGCAGCAATGGGAGGAGGCCGTACAGGGACCCATGAGAGACTCTGGACCTGGCAGCAGCATGAGGGAGGCGGTATAGGGGCCCATGGCAGATTAGGGGCCTGGCAGCAGCTATGGGAGGCCCGTAATCTGCCAGCACCCTATGACAAAAAATGGAACACACCAGCAGTGTGAGGAGACCTGAAAGTGGCACATGGCATGAGACACTGTGGACCTGGCAGCAGCATGAGGAGGCGGTACAGGGGCCCATGGCAGATTAGGGGCCTGGCAGCAGCTATGGGAGGCCCGTAATCTGCCAGCACCCTATGACAAAAAATGGAACACACCACAGTGTGAGGAGACCCATGTGCCACTTTCAGGTCTCCTCACACACTGCTGGTGTGTTCCATTTTTTGACATAGGGTGCTGGCAGATTACGGCCTCCCAAAGCTGCTGCCAGGCCCCTAATCTGCCATGGCCCCTATACCGCCTCCTCATGCTGCTGCCAGGTCCAGAGTCTCTCATGGGTCCCTGTACGGCCTCCCATTGCTGCTGTCTCCATCGCCACACTCTGCCATGTGCCACTTTCAGGTCACCTCACACACTGCTGGTGTGTTCCAATTTTTTTGTCATAGGGTGCTGGCAGATTACGGGCCTCCCATAGCTGCTGCCAGGCCCCTAATCTGCCATGGGCCCCTGTACCGCCTCCTCATGCTGCTGCCAGGTCCACAGTCCCCTGTACTCCCATGCCATGTGCCACTTTCAGGTCTCCTCACACTGCTGGTGTGTTCCATTTTTTGACATAGGGTGCTGGCAGATTACGGGCCTCCCAAGCTGCTGCCAGGCCCCTAATCTCTGCCATGGGCCCCTATACCGCCTCCTCATGCTGCTGCCAGGTCCAGAGTCTCTCATGGGTCCCTGTACGGCCTCCCATTGCTGCTGTCTCCATCGCCACACTCTGCCATGTGCCACTTTCAGGTCTCCTCACACACTGCTGGTGTGTTCAATTTTTTGTCATAGGGTGCTGGCCTCCCTATTACGGCCCCTAATCCCATAGCTGCTGCCAGGCCCCTAATCCAGCCATGGGCCCCTGTACCGCCTCCTCATGCTGCTGCTGTCAGTCCACAGTGTCTCATGCCATGTGCCACTTTCAGGTCTCCTCACACAGCTGGTGTGTTCCATTTTTTGTCATAGGGTGCTGGCAGATTACGGGCCTCCCATAGCTGCTGCCAGGCCCCTAATCTGCCATGGGCCCCTATACCGCCTCCTCATGCTGCTGCCAGGTCCAGAGTCACTCATGGGTCCCTGTACGGCCTCCCATTGCTGCTGTCTCCATCGCCACACTCTGCCATGTGCCACTTTCAGGTCTCCTCACACTGCTGGTGTGTTCCATTTTTTGTCATAGGGTGCTGGCAGATTACGGGCCTCCCATAGCTGCTGCCAGGCCCCTAATCTGCCATGGGCCCCCTGTACCGCCTCCTCATGCTGCTGCCAGGTCCACAGTGTCTCATGCCATGTGCCACTTTCAGGTCTCCTCACACTGCTGGTGTGTTCCATTTTTTGTCATAGGGTGCTGGCAGATTACGGGCCTCCCATAGCTGCTGCCAGGCCCCTAATCTGCCATGGGCCCCATACCGCCTCCTCATGCTGCTGCCAGGTCCAGAGTCTCTCATGGGTCCCTGTACGGCCTCCCATTGCTGCTGTCTCCATCGCCACACTCTGCCCATGTGCCACTTTCAGGTCTCCTCACACTGCTGGTGTGTTCCATTTTTTGTCATAGGGTGCTGGCAGATTACGGGCCTCCCATAGCTGCTGCCAGGCCCCTAATCTGCCATGGGCCCCTATACCGCCTCCTCATGCTGCTGCCAGGTCCAGAGTCTCTCATGGGTCCCTGTACGGCCTCCCATTGCTGCTGTCTCCATCGCCACACTCTGCCATGTGCCACTTTCAGATCTCCTCACACTGCTGGTGTGTTACATTTTTTGTCATAGGGTGCTGGCAGATTACGGGCCTCCCATTGCTGCTGCCAGGCCCGTAATCTGCCATGGGCCCCCGTACCGACTCCTCATGCTGTGACGTTGCAACAAGGTGGAATTCAACCCTACATATGTTAGACCGCCTTTACAACAGCGAAAGGCCATCACAGATTTCCTGATGTTACAAGCGGATAAAGGTACTCCCTGTGTAACTTAGATGTCAGCCATTGGCAGCTCATGCGTGACACCTGCGCTTGCTCAGGCCCTTTGAGGAGGCCACGCTATTCGTGAGTCGGCAGGACTATGGGATGAACGACGTCATTCCTCTGTTGCACGTCCTGGAACTAATGCTGTAACAATGGCTGGTCAGGGTGCGGTAGACGTGGCGCACAGATCTCAACGCCACATGACCCCTGTGGGGGCAGGACAGGAAGAAGAAGGAGGAGGTAGAGGAGGACATTGGTGCTCAGGAATTATTGAGTGAAATGGGTGGTTTTTCCACTCAGCGGACAGGAGTGGAGGAGCAGGAGCATCTGGTAGAGGAGGAGGAGGAGGAGACAGAGGACCCAAACGCACCGTGGCAGTATGCTGTGGAGATGGAGGCAGGGAGTCCCTCGCATTCCTTGGCACAAATGGCCCATAGCATGCTCGCTTGCTTGCGTAGCGACAGCCGAATAATAACCATCAGACAGAGGGATGACTTTTGGCTGTCCACCTTGTTGGACCCTCGCTACCGTTCAAAAATGGTGGCCTTTTTCACACCTGCTGAGAGGGAGGCCAAAATAACGTACTATAAAAACCACCTATGTAGTCAGCTGGTCTCTGTCTTTCTGCGCCAACGTCCATCCTCAGACACACTGTGGGCCCTGTGCGCTCGCGTTCCGCTGCCATGGCAGCAGGGGAGGGGTGGGGTGGTAGGAGCAGTGGCAGCTCCACCAGCAGCGGCTGCCTCAGTCTGCAGTCGATGATGAGTAGCTTTCTTCACCAGCGCAGTGAGGAAACTACTAACCATGCAGCAGCAGCAGCAGCATCAGGTGGACCTGGAGCAGGACCTCAAACAACAGGCTTAGGCCTACTTGGACAGCACCCTGCCAACCGAGGTAGACAATCCCCTTGACTACTGGGCAATGAAACTTGACCTTTGGCCCCAACTAGCTGAATTTGCCCTTGAAAGGCTGTCATGCCCGGCCAGTAGCGTGGCATCGGAGCGCTGTGTTTAGTGCGGCAGGAGGTATTGTAACTCAGCGGAGGACACGACTGTCCACCCAAAGTGTGGAGAGACTCACGTTTGTGAAAATGAATCAGGCGTGGATTAGTCTGGATTTCAAACCACCAGTTCCTGACACAACTGACTAAATCCGCCATGAATCATGCCCCAAACATGTGCCACTTTCAGGTCTCCTCACACTGCTGGTGTGTTCCATTTTTTGTCATAGGGTGCTGGCAGATTACGGGCCTCCCATTGCTGCTGCCAGGCCCGTAATCTGCCATGGGCCCCTGTACCGCCTCCTCATGCTGCTGCCAGGTCCAGAGTCTCTCATGGGTCCCTGTACGGCCTCCCATTGCTGCTGTCTCCATCGCCACACTCTGCCATGTGCCACTTTCAGGTCTCCTCACACACTGCTGGTGTGTTCCATTTTTTGTCATAGGGTGCTGGCAGATTACGGGCCTCCCATAGCTGCTGCCAGGCCCCTAATCTGCCATGGGCCCCTGTACCGCCTCCTCATGCTGCTGCCAGGTCCACAGTGTCTCATGCCATGTGCCACTTTCAGGTCTCCTCACACTGCTGTTGTGTTCCATTTTTTGTCATAGGGTGCTGGCAGATTACGGGCCTCCCATTGCTGCTGCCAGGCCCCGTAATCTGCCATGGGCCCCTGTACCGCCTCCTCATGCTGCTGCCAGGTCCAGAGTCTCTCATGGGTCCCTGTACGGCCTCCCATTGCTGCTGTCTCCATCGCCACACTCTGCCATGTGCCACTTTCAGGTCTCCTCACACACTGCTGGTGTGTTCCATTTTTTGTCATAGGGTGCTGGCAGATTACGGGCCTCCCATAGCTGCTGCCAGGCCCCTAATCTGCCATGGGCCCCTGTACCGCCTCCTCATGCTGCTGCCAGGTTCCACAGTGTCTCATGCCATGTGCCACTTTCAGGTCTCCTCACACTGCTGGTGTGTTCCATTTTTTTGTCATAGGGTGCTGGCAGATTACGGGCCTCCCATTGCTGCTGCCAGGCCCGTAATCTGCCATGGGCCCCTGTACCGCCTCTTCATGCTGCTGCCAGGTCCAGAGTGTGTCATGGGTCCCTGTACGGCCTCCCATTGCTGCTGCCAGGAGGCAGCAGGGTCGCAGCAGTGTCAGTGGAGGCAAACGGCCACGGAGTAGAGCACCAGCTCCACTGCAGCCTACCACCACGGCCAGTAGTGGTGCCGGTGTGCACAGAGGGAAGTAGCAGTCAGCCAGTGAGGAGTAGCGGGGGCAAAGTTTCCTACTCGGCGGTGTGGCAATTTTTCGTCAAGCCGCCCGAGGAAGTAAACGTAGCCGTCCCATGTCGACTATGTGGCCAGAAAGTCAAGCGTGGCCAGGGGGCCCTGTTGGGACTCACAGCGTTGCGTCAGCCATGCAGCGTCGCCATTCGGTGGCCATGGGAAAACCAGTGATAAAGATACAGCGGTTCTGCCTGCCCCAGCCCAGGGTTCCATTTTGTCATAGGGTGCTGGCAGATTACGGGCCTCCCATTGCTGCTGCCAGGCCCGTAATCTGCCATGGGCCCCAGTACCGCCTCCTCATGCTGCTGCCAGGTCCACAGTCTCTCATGGGTCCCTGTACGGCCTCCCATTGCTGCTGTCTCATCGCCACACTCTGCCATGTGCCACTTTCAGGTCTCCTCACACTGCTGGTGGTTCCATTTTTTGTCATAGGGTGCTGGCAGATTACGGGCCTCCCATAGCTGCTGCCAGGCCCCTAATCTGCCATGGGCCCCTGTACCACCTCTCCTCATGCTGCTGCCAGGTCCAGAGTCTCTCATGGGTCCCTGTACGGCCTCCCATTGCTGGTGTCTCCATCGCCACACTCTGCCATGTGCCACTTTCAGGTCTCCTCACACACTGCTGG